GAAGAGAGTATGCTGGGCACACACACTCCAAAGACCACTACCACCTGCCCAGGGGCCACCAGTGAGGTGAGGTTAATCACAGAAACACCTGCAGAGAAGGTGGTCTTTGCAGAGTCTGAAGAGAAGAGGCTACCTGTGGAGAAAGGAGGAGTGCCACACTCCTGGCCAGATCAGCCATGCTCAGGAGTAGGGACAGGCATGCTGCTTGTGGGGAAGCTGCTGCAGGAATAAAGAGTGGCTGTGGACCCTGACCCTCTTAAGTGATGATATGGGAAGACCAAAAGGTTTAGGACCAGACCAGCTCAGGAGCACAGCCTGACCTTGACCTCTAGGGTTAACTAGAATCTCTGCAAGTGGGCTGTCTTGAGGACTCAATGAAAAAACATTTCAAGGCCCCAAAATGGAGGCTAGTGGGTAATGAGCACTCAGAAAGCACTTTAGAGACCACCTATCCAAATGCCATTTATGCATTCATTCAACAAATATTTTAGAGCCACTGTTCTGGGTCAGGAACTTATAGATAGAGAATCCTATCCCTGCCTCCAAGAAACATCATGTCATGGGGTAATGGAGCAGTAACAATTTTTATTAAAGAGTCAGTATACAAGAAAGGAAAGGAAACTGGCACGAATAGTTTACAAATCATAAAATTGGCATCCTGGAAGCCACAGATAAAATGAGCAGCATCCAGGCGGCCAAGAGTGATGTTCGAAGGCTAGGGGCCCTGGGTGGGGGTAGGGGTGGGGAAAGCAGCAGGGTGACAGGTAATGTGCCCTGGAGAAGAGAAGCAGCAAGAGTAGCCTGGAAAGGGTGAGGAGCACAAGGCCACAACCAGAGAGACAGCAGCTATGACAGGGTGGATCAAGGACCTCAACACAGGCAGGGACACCAACTTTGGGTAGGAGGGTGACTCCTTTCTAACCCAGGAGGAAGAGAGGCCAGATGGTTTGGGCATGTGGCTAGCTTCTGTGGCCTCAGTTCCCTCTGTGAAACAGGAGATGAGTTCAGCTACTTTGGGGAAGAAGAAAGGGTGGTACCAGGCTCAGAGCTGGAAAGGCTAGAGCAGGACAGGAGAGAGAGCTGCCAAGGATGCGGGCTGAGATCACTGCAGCTTCTGGACACGGCTGAGGATGGAGGCCTAAGTGTGCTCAGAGACGGGTTAAATTGCCGGAGATGCGCACATAGGCATTGCAGGGCCTGGACCAATCACTTTAAATGTAACCCCCTCCTTAGGAATGACCTATCACTCCAGCCTGACCTGTTCCCGCCAATGAATGAACTAATCATGTTTAGGAGTTGTTGTTCAATTTTCCCGCGCCTCATGATGATTTGTTCTGATGTATACAAAGCCCTCCGCCCTCCCCAAAAAGTGTACTTAAGCAGTGCTCAGCCCCTGCTCGGGGCTCTGGGCTGCTTTCCCTTCTTGAGTGGGCACAGAGCCCCAGCATGCTGGTTCAATAAATCCCCTTTTGCCAATTGCAAAAAAAGAAAAAACAAAACAAAATTGCCGGAGATGGGTTAAATTGGGGTTAGGATCTGGCTAGATGAATCCAGCCTAAGTCCCGGGGGAGGATGGAGTAGGGAATGGCTGAGGTACTGGCAAGCAGGAGGTCTACTAAGCCCAAAAGGAAGGGCATGATAGGAGGGATACAAGGAGCTGGAAGAAGGTCAAAGTGCACGAGGAAGAGAAAACAGGAAGTCATGGTTGGCAGTGGGAAACGGATTTTAAGTGAGGAGATGAAATGCTCAGGCTTCCATTTTCAAGGGATTTTGTGCCAAGCATTTAAGGACAAGATAAACAGAAAACCAATAATTACTTACAGTGTTCTTGGCACTTATAAGTAAGTGTGATGATCTGGGGGTTGGCTGAGGGGACAGGAATACAAATAATTCTGCTGGATCAGGAAGGGTTGATAAAAGAAGTTCTGCAGAAGAAGTTCCCACTAAAATCTGGTCTATATGAACCTTAGACCTGCCATGTATGAGATCAGGGGAGCTGTGGCCTGTGGAATCTGAAACCCAAGGCACAGATGTCTATATTTTCTAGGCAACATGTCTGCACACCATGGACAGAAAGCAAATAAGACACAGTTGTGGTGGAAGTTATTGGCACTTACCCATCTCCCCTAGACCTTCAGTGCACATGGACCCACTTAGACCTGAGCACATGCCTGTATTACTTTGCCCAGGAACACTCTCTTCCCACCAAAATCCTTGTCCACCATGGTAGCAGGCAAGAAGTAGAAAAATGAACACCCAGATAGAGCAGCTCAACATAATTGATGGGAACGGGAGTGTAAATACCCCACCTCCTTTCCCCCCAGTTGGGTCACTCTGAGGTTTGTGTTCTGCACAGTCACCTAGAGCCCCACTGGTGGTATTAAGCCCCAGTTGCCCACATTGACAACTAACTTGATAGCCACCTCTCATGGGCTTCCTGCTTTTCTTTTTCCCTCCCAACTCCAGGTGTTTCATTTGCCTCCCAAATTGATGACTTGCATTTAAATCTTTGTCTCAGAGTCTGCTTCTAGGAGATCCCAAAGTAAGACAAATCCTCAACAGGATACACTGGGAGGCTGAGTTTGAATTCCCTCTTTCATATGTAAGGAATTCCCAGTTCACAGCTGGCTTCACACAGGTCAACTGAGCATGAACTAGGATATTAATGTTTACATCAAGACCCAGGCAGTATCATGAAATGCTGTGTTGCCCCCCAGTCTGAATAAAAACCATGCTGATAACAATGTCATTTGGCCGGCTTCAGGCACACGACTGGAAAGCATAGTCCACTGATTTGTCATCCTGGGCTAAATATAAAAGAATTGTAGCCTGAGTCAGAAGTTATTTTCAGCACTTGATCTGACTGCAGCCATTGAGGGATGCTGTTCTTGAGGGCTGCCTTCCTGGAAGTTGAGGTCCACCCTGGTGACCCACACATTCCAGGGACTACCCAACACCTCTACCAGGGAGAATCATCTCATCGATCCACCCTGACTGATGCTCCAGCACCCCAAAACCTACCACATCTCAGCCACGTTTCTGGTCACTCTCTATATATGGAAATTTGTCTCTTCCCAAGACTATAGTCTCCACTCTCAAAACCACAGGAAAAAAGTAGGAAGGGAGGAGAATAGACACCAGTTTGTGGTATAGTTGTGGTATTGGGGATCAAACCCAAGGCTTCACACATGCTAGACAAGCATGGTATCATTGATTTACATCCCCAGCCCCTCACTGGTATTTATTAAGAATCTGCTAACATGCTAGTTCCAAGACCTATAAATCTTTACCAAATCCCTTCCAGAGAAATATTATTATCTCTAGTCACAGAAATGCAAGGTGAGACTTTAGATAGCCAGATGGCTTGCTCTTGAGCCATGTGATACTGTATGGCCCTCCTCTTCCTCCACCACATCTCTTGGCACCCAGAACTGTTTCTATATGTAGAGGGTGGACGATATGCAAAGGTCTCCAGGTCAAAGAGTGAGGCATAGTGCCTCTTCCCCTTCACTAAGGGACCTAACTCTATGCCCAATCTCTGACCTGCTCTTATTTGTGGGGAAGGAGCAAGAGGAGATATAGAAGTTTCCACAGTTTGTTAAGGACCCTGGATTGCTTGGTCTCATGGGCAGCTGCAGCCCCTGTCTAGGATGCAACACCCTGGGCCCCCTACTGCTGCTTAGGTAGAGAAGAACAAGAAAGTGGCTTCTGTTTCTTTGGAGTGTATCTTTGCAACTGGCTGTTCTTTCCATAGACATGGCCTCCTTCAGATCTGTGGAGGGGATGTCAGGGGAGAGATTTGTGGAGAGGAGGGTCTTCCTGGCACAGCTCCCAAACAGTGCTCCCACCCCCACCTGCCTAGTGCCCCCACAAAGTCATCCCAGAAATCTTCCCCAACCACAGTAGGACAGCCTCACTGTCCTGCATTCTGATAGCCCATAGGCATTGTTTATAGAAGCCTAACTCTATGCCCAATCTCTGACCTGCTTTAAGCAATTCATGGTTCTTAACCCACAAAATAAAAAGCTGAACTTTCCAGCATTTAAGGCCCTTCACCATCTGTCCCAAATGAAGTCTTCTGAGTTGATCCTACAGGATATTTCCAGGCTCCAAATTTGGCATTCTCTCACCCACTTGTAGCTTTCACATGTAAGACACTCTGGCCCTTCTCATCCAGGCTGATTCTTTGAGATCCTTAGAAACACAAAGCCTAAGCTCCCTCCCTATGCGAACAAAATGAGTACTCCCCTACCATCACCCCACCTGCATTTCAGTGATGTTCATATTGCTATCCTGGGAGCAAGGGCCATGCTTCGTGCCTCCTCACAGGAGAACCCAGCACACTGCTTGGCATGGGGCAAGCCTTAGTCCAGGTTTAATTCCCAGGTTCTTACCCCTTTTTGTGCTGGGGACTACACAGGTATCTGGTGAAATCTATGGATTCATCTTAAGTCGTACTTTCAAAAGCATGAAACAAAAAAAATGACAAATGAAACCGATTTTACTGAAAAAGTTGTCAAAATATTTTCACATGAAATCAATGACTTAGAAATGTGCCTCCACATTAAGGCATGAAATGAGATCTGGTGGTGCATTCTAACGACTGTCATTTCCAAATAACAAGAAGCACAGAAAATATCTCATAACATCCGCAGCAATTGAATGTGATAGGAAAATATCCGCGGGAACTGCCAATCTTGCACTACTAGTTTTGATGTACAAAAACAGTAATTTCACATGATTTTGTCCAATTCTACTCTGGTTGTTGCCTGCATTCATTGAAGGAAATGATCAGTTTTGGGTAGAGGTGAGTAAACGTTGGAGATGCTAGCTTTCCCCATCCAAGTTTATGGAGCTCCTGAATTATATCAGGGATCTCTGGGGGAGATCCTTTCAATCTCCCTGGAGTGCATAGAGGGCCTGTCCTCTTTGCACCCAAGGCCTGCCTGGACCTCCCGCTCCCGGAGCAGCTAACCAATCCGGGTCTCTGTGCCCTCCAGGCTCCCTGTTCCCGCAGCTGAAACCATCAGAGGGCGTCTTCAAGGTTATCTTCTGGCTCGGCTACTTCAACAGCTGCGTGAACCCGCTCATCTACCCCTGCTCCAGCCGCGAGTTCAAGCGCGCCTTCCTCCGCCTGCTGCGCTGCCAGTGCCGCCGCCGCCGACGCCGTCGTCCCCTGTGGCGCGTCTACGGCCACCACTGGAGGGCCTCGACTAGTGGCCTGCGCCCCGACTGCGTCCCCAGCCCGAGTGCCGCGCCCCCCGGAGCGCCGCTGGCTCTCATAGCGCCCCCAGATCCCAGCTGCCCAGGCACAGACGAGGTGCAGGCTCCAGTCTCTAGCCGTCGAAAGACTCCCTACGCCTTCCGCGAGTGGAGGCTGCTCGGGCCGTTGCGGAGGCCGACCAACCAGCTGCGTGCCAAGGTCTCCAGCCTGTCGCAGAAGATCCGCACCGGGGGCTCGCAGCACGCAGAGGCCGCGTGTACCCTGAAATCCGAGGTGGAAGCCGTGTCCCTAGGCGTTCCCCAAGATGTGGCGGAGGGCGCCACCTGCCAGGCTTATGACTTGGCCGACTACAGCAACCTCCGGGAGACTGATATTTAAGGACCCCCAAGCTAGACTGAGGAATGTGCTGAGGGTGGGCGTGGGGGGCTTTGTGGGGAGGGAGGCTGGGTTTGTTGGAGTGGCCCGGGTGGATCAGGGACTCAAAAACTGTTCAGGATGGTTGCTTCTGTGGCATCTCTGAGCAAGCCGGGCTGGACCCTTGAAGCGTTGGGAGTTTGGGGGCCCCCTGTTGGAGACAGGTGCGCAGAGCTCTTTTCCTAGGAGGGAGGGGCTGCAGGATCTGTGGTGCCATTGGCACCCAAATTCCTGTTTGAGAAACTAACCACCCCATATGCCCTGCCCTGACCCGAGTAGATTGCCCCAAGTATGGCCAGGCAGGCCTGTTCCTCTTCTTCGAGAGGAAGAGGCACCAAAGTCTTGCGTGGCTGCCCCAAGGGTAAAGGACAATGGGGTCAGGTCGCCTCAATGGACAGTTTCTCCTTAACTGCCTACTAGCAGGACCCAGTGAACCTGCCACCACTGCCAGCAAGCTTTGGTGGCCTATTGTATTTTTCCCTGGGCCCACTGCCTCCTACCCCCACCCCTGCATTGGTCCAGTGCACACTCCATCACCTGGCTCTGCCCCTCATGACTTCCCTTCAAGGGCCTTACTGTTTACACTCTGTACATAGCTCATTGTGCCTGTGCCCATCACTTCTTGCTGGGATTTTGAGCTGCCAACTGGGGAGAGCTTTATTTGTCATTTTGAAACATATTTATTGGTAAGAGTACTTATATTTTGTCCAAACTGTGCAAACTTTAGCCTATAATCCATAAAGAACTTTTTTTTTCTAAAATCCTTAGAAATCCTTAGGCCCACAACAAGATAGACTAGGTCTCTATTTACCTCTCTAGCTTCGACTCAACTGTCTCTTTAACTGATGACTACTGTCCTTTGGGTCTTTTAGCATGACCAAAGGACTTGGGAGTTTTATTGGCTTTTAAAATTCACATGATTAATTTTGGTCACCAAATAGTAATCATAAGCACAAATTATCCCTTTGCTGATCTTCCCAGATGCATCCCTGATGCTCTGAGGACCTCAGTGAGGAAGGTGGTCATCAGTTAAATGGGTAAAAAATTACTTTATGTGAAAAGATATACAAGCCCAAGTAGACAGGTATACAGGGCTAGGGAAGAGAATCCATACTTAGCATCAGTGTTTGTTAGCTTTAAGTAAAATCTCATATTCCCATAGATTGTAGGCAGTTCAGTCTTCAGCTAGATAATACCAACCACATTTATCCAACCAGCAAGGGAGTAATTATTGTGGCCAGTGAACCCTTAAAAGGAGCAATGGTTAAACATTGCCTGGGGTACCTAGGATTATTCTGAAACTGGAAAAGCCAGCTGCTGAGCCAACATGGACCAATATTGAGGCTAGAAGTCTCTATCTCATGGGAGATAGTTTATGTGAAAGGTCACCATAATTCAAACCTTTGACATCCATTTTACAAGGTTAAAAGGCAGTCAATGGCAGGGCTTGGATAGTTCACATGGTGGTGGTTCTATAAAAGGATCTGGGCTTTCAGGCCTGGCCTTCCTCAACCTCGAGGAATAGGAAGGACAGTTCATAGCCAGTTCTGGGAGTATAGTGCATACTTTGCACATATTGGCCACTGTAAAGCTGGGTGGAGGGCACCCTTGCTGTCTTCTCACAGAGGTAGGAGCCATTTTTCAAATCAGAGGTTGGAGAAGAGGCAGACACCAGTGTCCAATGACTGAACACTGGCTTCATGCACAGTGGTAAACCAGACAGAGTTCTGAGCAGGGTAAATGTTGGCTCCCACGCTCCAGGCTAGTTGCATCCACAGGTGGTCAACAGTGAGGGTAAGAGAATAGAATGGGAAGGAGCCTTTATCAGGAGGATTTGGGGACCTCCCTGCCCTGCATAACCCAATGGAAATAGAGACAGGAGGAACTGAGGGCTTGCTCACTACTTGCTCCAGGTGTGATGATCACCTGCAGAACTGTTCTTAGGTTCAAGCCACAGCCCTGTATCCTGGCACAGCAGCCATTTGCACCCAGCTGCTTCCTTCTGTACCCCTCAGATCAGGTACCAAGCCCACTAGCAGTGCAGGAGGGCTGCAGAGCCCCCGAGAGGCCATGCCATATAGCAGAGGCATCCAGGGACCCTGCTCTAAAAACAATAGAACACTGCCACTGACCTTGCCCTTGGGACATGTCAGAGGGTCAAAGAATATCCAAGAGGAATGAAAGGAATAACAATGCCCTTGTGGAGCAGGGAGGTATTGCAAGTGATTTGGAAACACCTTGAAGAAGTACAATTGCACCATTTCCTGGGTCTTCAGGTACCTCAGTCCCCCAGCTTGGACTACATGATTGATTACAGAGACTGTCCCCCGGCTGCATGTAAAAGAGGGCTTTTGCCTTCAGGGAAGCTCCTTTACGTGTGCTCAAGGGTGGGTGAAGCCTGAAGGAATCGGTGAGTGGTGAAAGGGGCGGTCCTGTGAGATGTGACAGAGACAGAAGCAAGCTTCCAGAGACATGGCATTTGCCTAATTCCTCCTCCCCAATCCTTAGAAAGCCTCATTTCTGCTTCCCACCCAGGAACTCAAGCTGCAGTCTGCCCTCCCTCTCTAGCAGGCTCCTGCCACCCACCTTGCCTTGCTTCTCACACTCTTCCCAGGCTGCTTTTGCAAGTCACCTGGGACAGTCCATTTCTCCGCTCTCCTCCCCTATGACTCTGTCATAGTCCATGTTGATGGAAGCCCCTTGCTTGCTGAGATATTCACTCCCTGCCTCTGGGCCATGCAAGGAGATCTCTGGGATCCCAGGGTCTCTCCTGATATGACGAACACTTCCTCTCCACCCCCTTCTTCCTCTCTCCTCTAAAGTCTCTTCTCTAAAGTCTCCCCTCCCTGCCCTTAAAAGTTTCCCCAGGGTTTTATTCTAACTTTTCTCAACTCTCCACATACTCTCATCCACTTCACATATCTCAATGACCACTTGCTTATGAATGACTCCCAAGGGGCTGTCTCTAGCTCTGCATGTGTTCACCCTCCCCCTTGGTGACCTCCAGACACCCCAAATACAAACCTCAAGGCCACGCGCCTCCTGAGCATACCCTGCCCTCTCTGATTTCCAACTTCCAGAATCCTCAAGCTCTCAAGACCTCCTTCAAAGATCCCCTACTTGGAATTAAGCCCTGAGTATCCCATAGCCCCCCACCCCCAGGATGCTCACAAACAGTTCATCCTGGCTACAGTCTAGAAAGCCAGCTATGCTGTGCACTCCTGTGGGAACACCTGCTTCCAGTCCATCTTACCCTCCCATCTGAAGCCCCACTGCCCCTGCAGGCCCCTGCAGCAGCAGCCATACTCTTCTTTGATCCCTCTGTTTCAGGCGCTGACAGTTCTGGGGAAAGGTTTGGAACCTCCATTGTCCTCTGCTCAGTGACCTGTCAGAGCTCAGACTCCTCCAAGCCTTTCTGACCCTGATTCTATTCCTGTCCTGTTACACCCCCAGGGGGGTACATGTTCAAAATCCACTTGGAAAGAATTTCCTTTTTTTTTTTTCTTCTTGTGACTCCAGGGAAGCACAAAACCAGATGCTTGCAAAGGCTAAACCAGTCCCCACAGCCTCTCTGCCTGGCATAGCTCCCCAGGGAGCTATTGGACCCAGGTGGCTCTGGGGGGTAGGACCTTAGGGAAGCAGGGCCTGGCACTGCTCCTGCTGTCTGAGCTGGCCCACTTTCCTTCCCCCACCCTGCCCCTTGGGAAAAAAAGGCAACAACAAGAATGCTGAACAGAATCTGCCCACATTCTAAAATTACCCTGGTCTGGGGGTAATTAAGGGGAAACCACAGGATACATATGGAATCAAGAAGAAATCCAGGACATGGAGCCATACAGGTTGAGCTTTCAGAGCCAGGAACCAGAGGTAAGGATGCACTGGAAGCATCTGCAAGCACCTCAGCTGTGACATTTCTGGACATTTCCTTCAGGGATTCACTGTTCATGTATCTCCACTATACTGCTTGTGTCCACCTCTTTCTGTCCTGCCAAAAACCAGAGAAGGAAACTCAGCTCCTTTTCCTGAGAGGGAATCAGATTGGTCCCGCTCATCATTTGAGCCAAGCCATAAGGTCACTGGTCAGCCTAGGGATTGGCTAATTTTGGGTCAGGCTTAACAGCAGGAGCAGGCAGATGGGAGTGGGATGGGCCAAGTGGGACAACAGCCCACTGGGCACCAGCCTGTGAGGAGCAAGTCTTTTCCAGAGGGGGCAGGGCTGGTCAGATAAAGATTGACATCTCTGGCACACTGGGTCAGCTAAGCATGCAGCAAGCACTGAGGAAACTGCCCGGTATCTAGATAAACCCTTGGGCATTAGTTTTCTCACTTGACAACTTACAAGGCAAATGGGTTACTGGTATTGTCATGCTCTCTCTGCTCATAATCTATTTGTCCTCTTTGTTGCTACATCATGACTAGTGGCTCCATATTTCAAGAAGTTGTTCAAAGCAGAGCAAGAGAAGGATTGGCTGTAGCATCTACCTCCTTTTCTCAAGCTAGCAAAGCTTTCCCAGAAACACCCCTCTACCTCCACCCCCATTCAAGGTTGTATTGGCCAGAACTGGGTCACATGACCACCCTGTGCAGGAGACTGGAAAAAATCAGTGTGATTGGTCTAGATCAGGAGTCCAAAAATTCTACAGGCCAAATTCAGCCCATTGTCTGACTTGGGACAGCCTATGAACTAAGGATAGTGGAAAAAAGCAAAAGAAAAAATATTTCATAATATGTAAAAATTATATGAATTTACTGCATAATATCTCCAATTTTGCTAACTGACCACAAAGCCCAAATTTACTACCTTGCCCTTTATAGGAAAAGTCTGTCAACCCTTGTTTTAGGGCAAGTAGGATCACTGATTGCCTTCTGTTGGGCACACTGCTATCCTGAACCAAAATCAAAGTTCTGGCTGCAATAAACCACAGAGAAAGGATATTGGGCAGGCAGCCTTCCATGTCTGTTATATATGCCATCAACACATTCCAAGTCTAGATCCAATTAATTCATTTGAATTCAGTACAAACTAAGAACCTCCTCTTTCTTCAGGACCCTGGCACAAAGGGATTATTCTGGAAGTCCTCTTCCTTAAAAACATCTTCCACCAAATGTGTACTTTTTTGTTTGTTTTGTTTTGTTTTGTACCAGGGATTGAACCCAGGGGTACTTAACCATTGAACTGCATCCCCAGTCCTTTTTATTTTTTATTTTAAGGAAGGGCCTCACTAAGTTGCTGAAACCAGTCTTGAACTTGCAATCCTCCTGTCTCAGCCTCCCCAGTTGCTGGGATGAAGAGCATGTGCCATCATGTCCTGCTAAATGTGTAGAATTTTGAGAGACTTGTGAAAAGGAGAGGGGAACACAAGAAAATAACTGGCTGTTTGTGCTAAAATGCTGGCCTCAGAATTAGAGCTCCAGCAAGCAGTTATAGTGGCCAGATTCATATAAGCTAACACAGACTGCCTAACTCACTAGGAAGTGAAGTTTATAAGCCCAAGGTCAATGTGCCAATTTTTTACAAGAAATGTAAACTATCATATAAACCAATATCCCCGTGACAATAAATGACCTTAATGATAAGCCAAATCATGGTGTGAAAGCCACTTGGTGAACTCAGAGGCAAAGCCAGAGAGTTAATGACCAGAACCCTTGGCCAGGGTTTCACCTCTTCTTCCATGATCCATCCCTCTCCATCCTCCTAACTGACTCAGGCTTCATTCCCAGCCTTTCATCTTGATCTGTGCATTGAAGTTCACTTTTCTTGTCTTTAATCTCAACTATTATAGTTCCATCTCAGAGTGGAACCCTCAAATGATAGTCTTGAGGCTTTTATTTTCAAGTTCTTAGGGAGAATCTTATGGTCACTCTAGTGGACAAGCCTATAAGTATTGAATGCCTGGGCCTTATACAGATTAGGTACTTGATGTCCCCTCTCCCCAGCTGTGAACTGTACCTTATAGGTGGGGCCTAGGTAATTCCTGGAACCCTTCAACCAATCAGTATGCTTCAATCAGCAACAAATGGTGAGGTCAGGTGAGATCACTGAACAATGCATGCATTTGATATTTATTGAGCATCTATTATGTGGGGATCCATCATTGTATGAGGGATAAAAAAAACCCTCTGCTTTCATGGTGTCCTCATTCTAGAACCTACAAAAACGATAGGTAATAAACAATATCAACAAAATACACAGTAGTTAGACGGTTATAAGCAAGAAACACATGGGAAGCATCAGGGACAGAGAGATTACACTTTTAGATCTAGAACCCCAGGAAGTTCTCAGCTAGAAGATGATAAGGCAGAGAGTCACACAAGTTCTTGGGGAAAAGCATTCCAGGTAGAAGGGATAACAGGGGCAAAATCCTGACTTAGGAGGGTACGTGGCATATTCAAAAATTAGCAAGGATGCCAGTTTCCATGGTAACATCCAACAGTCCAGGCAAGAGATGAAGATGCCTTTGTCAGAGAGATGGAGGTAAAGGTAATGGAAATAGGTAGATTCTGAAGAGATTCTAGAAATGAAGCATTTTCCTATGCCAAACCCATGCTCAGCACACCTTTCCCAAACTTCCATCCAGACCTGCCCGACTGCCTGCCTTATGAAGGAAGGCCCCTTAAAATATCAGGTAAGATTTTTTTTAAAAAAATTAATGACACTTTCAACTTAAGGTAGAATCCTGACAATTCCTTTATAAGACCTTTTTCCTTAAAATACCAACAAAGAACAAATCCCATCATTATATACAACTATAATGCACCAATAAAAAATGTGGAAAGAAAAAAAAACTAAATGAAAAAAATGAAATAAAATAGCAACAAAGACCTAAAATAAGCATAAAAATTCAAAATGGGTCTGAAAAGTGAGGATATTAACCAACCATTTGCAAACAGTAGGGATTCCAGGTCTGAAGAAGCTGAATTAAAAGGCTTGGGGCCCTTGCCAGAGTTTTCCTCTTTGCATCAAAGGCATCATTGGCTAGGGGTAAAGAGAAGGCTTGATTCTGTCCACTACACAGTCCCCTGTGACTCACCCCTAATTCCAAAAAGTCTGCCCAGTCATTAAACCTATGCCCACTGCCCCACTGCCCATAAACTGCTTTCTGAATATCTGAGAACAAAGCTATGATTCTCCCATTCTCCTGATCCTCTTCAGAAACTTGCTACATCTAGCAAAGACTTCATGCCCACTGGCCTATCCACATATGTGGGCCTGGGGGCAGAAAGAAAATTGGAAATCAGAGTAAGATACTGTCGTTTTCCAGGTGTTTCACCTGATGGAAGAAAAGTGGTTAGCAGCTCTGAACTTTTACAATGAAGTTCTTCCTTTTCACCAAGAATTGAGCGGTGAGGGTAGAAGATGATCTTAACTGCATCTGGTGGAACAAAAAAAATGTTCACTGGCATCTGTTTCCCTCAGCTTGGGTCTTAGTCAAAAGCATCCTCTAAGCCGGGCACAGTGGTGCACGCCTGTAATCCCAGTAGCTCGGGAAGCTGAAGGAGAAGGATCACGAATTTGAAGCCAACCTCAGCAACTGAGCAAGCCCCTAAGCAACTCAGTGAGACCCTGTCTCTAAATAAAATACAAAATAGGGCTGGGGATATGGCTCAGTGGTTGAGTGCCCCCAAGTTCAATCCCCAGTACTCAAAAAAAAAAAAAAAAGAAAAAGAAAGAAAGAAAGAAAAAAGCATCCTCCAGGGGCCCAAATCCCTTGGCCTCTTCCTTCCAGGCCCCTTTGCTAAGGTTGAATCACACTTCACCTGGGTTCCTTCCCAATCCATCAACCCATTGTTCATTCTATCACCAGTGCCCAGAAATTGCCCTCTTGGACTGGATGAAAGGTGTATCAGTCAGCTTTTTTTTTTTTTCAATTTTTTTTTTAGTTGTAAAATACCTTTATTTTATTTATTCTTATGTGGTGCTGAGGATTGAACCCAGTGTCTCACACATGCTAGACAAGCACTCTACCACTGAGCCACAACCCCAGCCACTCAATCAGCTTTTACTACAATAAAGCTGTGAAACAAGCTTCCCATAAATGCACAGATTACAACAGTAAGCATTTCTTTCCTTGCAAGCATTTACCTTTTTTGCTTGTAAATGTCTACAGATTCCAGTTTCAGTTCTAGGCTTCTATGGGCTCCCATCTCTTACCCTTTTTTCTATATTCTCCTTGAAACTTCAGCCCTCTGGGGCATGCACTTCTCATGACAAATGGCAAGTACGCAAGAACTCAAAACCAACTGTAACTACGCGTTAAAAGATTCAGCTCCTATTGCATCATGTCTGTCCGCATTTCAATGGCCAAAGCAAATCACAAAGCTAACCTATAAGCCAGTGCGGCAAGAAAATCTACTCTGCTCCAAGGAAGAAAAGTATATGACTGAATATTTGCTGAATGATTCTCCACATGTATCACAATGGAAGTGAGTCTTGTGGCAGAACGAGCCCTCAACCTGTCCAGGAGCCCCCATGGTATAATTAATAATCAGCCCAGGGACATCCTGTGGGATCTTAACCCTAAAACTGATGGGGGCCAGCCAGCTGCTGCAAGCAGCATTTACTAAATGAAGGCAGGACCACAAGCAGGAAAATCTTGGGGACTCCAATACATCGACAAACAAAATACAACTGCAGAATAGTAGTGTTGCATCCAGAGGGTGGCCATGTTCCTGGCAAGAAGTCTGAGAATCACGTTGCTGTGTCTTCCGGAACCTCCTTTCCATAATGTATCCACTGCTCTGGCCCTAGGCTCCCTGGATTTGGCTACAGGGCATCTTCCTTGGTTTCTTTCAACTCAATCTTCTAGGAAACAACTAGGCCCCTGCAACTTCAGCCCAGGCCTCAACACTCCTTCCCCATCTGCTTCTGGCTGGGCCATGTTCAGGGTTGTGCAACTGCCTCTTATTACCTGTGGGATCTGAACCACAAGGATGCTGTATAACAGCCAACCACAAAATCTCACTGTCAGGCTCACATGTCTGAGGTCAGCTGGGCTTGGCTAGGTTCACTCCTGGTCTAAGGGCTGGCCGGTTGTTTGCTGATCTAGACTAGCCCTGGCTAGGAAGACCACTGTGACTAAAGTGACTCAGCTCTGCTTCACATGTCTCTCATCCTCCATTAGCCCAAGCCAAGCATGTTGTCATGGTGACCACAGAGATGCAAGAGCACAAGTAGAATGCCCAAAGCCTATTGGTACTCATTCAATTCTACTTCATTATCTTGGCTGAAGGTCACTGGATCAAACTTGGATTCAAGAAGTGTGGGAATATAGACTCCACTTCTATATTCATTTTCTAAGGCTTCCATAAAAAGGTACCACAGATGGCGTGGCTTAAACAACAAAAATCTTCACAATTCTGCAGGCCAGGAGTCCTGGTATCTTCTGAGGTCTCTCTCCTCAGCTTGTAAATGGCTGGCTTCTCCTCATTGTCTACCATGGATTTGCCTCTGTACGCTTCTACATCCTAATCTCTTCTTTTAGGGACACCAGACATAGTGAATGAGAACCCACTCTAAACCTCATTTTAAATTAATTCCCTCTTTAAAGATCCTGTCTGCAAATACAGTCACATTCTGAGGTATTGTGGTTACAACTTCAATTAATTTGAAGGCAGGGACACAATTTAACCCATAAGTACCTCCTTAGTTGGAGCAGATAGAAGGTCACCTGGGAAAGCATACAGACATCAGAGAGAAGAACTGAGGTCCTTGCACCATCTACCTACCAGAAGTGGCAATACCGGTGTAGCTTGTTCTCTGAACACCACACTGCTCCAGATTGGGTGACACACTCCTGTACCCTGGGACAAGGACTATTCCCTGCCAAGCCCCAGATTTTTCATTTGTCATAGGGTCCAGATCACACCTGTTTAGTGTTTAAGAACCACAAGGAAAGACAATTTCCAAAATTGGATCTCCATCAAAAAAGTAGA